AAAAAAGCAATTAAAAAAAGTTCTCTAAGCATAGGTCTTGGTGGATGATATAAGTGATATTTTAATAATTTCTGAAATTTAATTTGATCATATCTTTGAAGAAAACATAAGTAATTTAATTCTGCTATGCTTCTAAAAATAATTTAAGAGGTTTGGAGCCTTTAGGTTAAAGATGTAGTTTTTATTCCAAATAATTAAATAAAATAGATATTGAAATTGATGTGCAAAAATGTAATTAATGTTTATAATATTTCTTTCATTTCTTTCCTTCTAATGTCTAAATAGTATCCATAATAATATATTGATTTATTTGAATAGAAATTACACATTTTCTATTCATAATCTTATTTAAATAATAAATTTGAACTTTGAGGATAATTTTGTAATACCGATCTAATTTTAGGTTTTGGATAAAGTTATTAAAGAATTAGGGAATAATATATAGTTTTATTTATATAGAATTAGATATTTGAAAAAGAATTCAATTTTATTAATCAATTACCATTAAGATAAAGTAACCATGGTCCTCTAATTTTTTGAAAGAAAGTTTCCTCTCAACCTTTGATTCCAATTGTCATTAACACTATGAGGCTTTGGGTCTTCCTATCCGCATAAAAGACTTGTGAATCAGATCCTTCGAATATATAATCACAATAAGATAGATGTCCTTTTATGATGTCTTCTATTCCACTAAAGTCATTATTGGGTAATTCAGATAATTTCATCGCCATAGCAATATTCTTCCTAATTTCTGTCATGATTTAGACCGTCCTGGTATTGTAGTAAGGTTCCAAGTACTGTCTTGGGATCTTGATGAATTCCCACTATACTTTAATGTGTAGTCCCATTCACAACTAATAATATAAATAAGAGTATTCTTCTTCTTTAATATATAATTAATCTTTCTTTGGCATGTCCATCATAAAAAAGTCTGTATTTATTTTTTGTAGATACTTAATTATATACAAAATTTGCTCAGTAGCTAAAGTAAATGGGCAAATTGAATCTAATATGAAATGTTCTTCATTATATAGATTTGTTATACACCTTATGTATTTTCTCTATAAATCTATTTGGCAATTTCATAAAATATGGATCCTAAAATTTTATCCTATATTTTTATATAGAACATCCAGTGATTGAAGTTCAATATCAAATTTTGGTAATAAGAACAATATATCATTAATTCTAAAATCCGGTATTTATGATAAAAAGCCAAATATTATAAATTAAAAATGGGCTCATTCTTATTCAAATCTATTTCCTCATTTTTCTCATTTGAGCTAATCCAATTTTCAAAATGCCAAATCGCTTTTTGTATTTTTTTTTATGCTATTGTTGCAAACTAAAATTAAGGGAAAGTTTGATATGGTCCTGTATGTTATTGAGAAATAGTTCTAGTAATTTGATTGAAAATGGTTATTTGAAAAATGAAAAAGGATGGCTGCCATAAATGAAAATTTTATTAACTATTCAATTGATGATTTATCCAAACTTTTGAGTTCAGAAAATTTCACTGAATATTTTCAGTGATTATTTCCTTCTATAGCTTTCAAAATAAAATGATTCAAAATCGCAAGATATTTCAAATTTTTATCTTTTTCTGAAGGTTATAGATCTGACATCTGTTAATCTGAGCGTAGTAATTATTCTGAATTAAGTTTTTGAGTTTGAAAATAAAAATATAATAGAAATAGATGATATTTTAATTGCGTGAAATATTATTATTAAATAAATATATAAGATGGAGAAAAAATCATATTAACTATATTAAGAATAGAAAAGTAAAACAGAAGCAACCTTAGCAAGTTTATAATAAGAAGTAGAGTTAAAATATTTTAATTAATATCAATAGGGATCTTTCAACAGAATTGATACATAACTTGATTAACTATTGAATGAAAAGTGTAATTTAGTCAAAATATTACCTTCTCAAGTATTATCAGATTTACCAACAATCTATTCTAATATTTTACTTCAATTTTAAAAAGACAATTTCCCATAATAAATAATTTAATAAATGATTTCCTTAATCAAAAATAAAAATCAAAAAAATAACAGAAAACCACGAGCAATCAATTTAAACTGTTTACTTATTAATTAATTTTAATAGAACTCAATTAAATAAAATGAAAAATGTTTTGCAATTGCTGTTAATAAAGTTTGTTCAATATAGTTTATTGTGCTTAAAGCGAAATTAAAGTGTTGTTGAGTTTAAATTAGGAATCTTGAAACAAGGTTTGCTTTAAGTGAACATACCATACTTGAACTGTTTTTACTTTCAATTTCATGAAGAAATCAGATCAGCTAATATCTGGGATTGCTGATAAATAAAGAACAATTTCAGGAAGAAATCAAATATAATTCATGGATGTGTTAATACAAATTGAAGGGACATACTAATAAAATCTATTGTTTAATAATAATGATAGTGAAGATCTTATTGTATCTGGTAGTAGTGATAATACAATTGTATTCGAGTTGAAGTAGAATCAATCGTTGTGTACATTAGAATTATTGCTAAATTTTTCTAGATGGTATACTGCTATTCCCAAAAATCTATATTATTTAAAATTGGAAACAAAAGGATGCTCTTTTTAATATTTTTTGTGTTAATTGCCATAATTCCTGAATTTTTTAATTTATTTAAAGATTTCAGTTCTTAGGTAAATCAGTTAAATGACCCAAGAATTTCTGATAAAATTTGTATTTTACAAAAGATGGTAAAACATCAGCGTTTCTCTAAACAGTTATGTATTTCTCAGATAATTCTTCTAGAAATTTAAATTTCCCCATCTTATAAGATTTCCATTTCTTTTAATATTGGAGACAATTTATCTCCCTTCACTCAATCATATCCATAAGAAAAATCAATGAACATAAGGAATATCTGTAAATGTTATAACGACTATTACTAGCAAAGGAACGCTAAGTTTCTACCTAGAGAAGAACGCTAAAGAACTCTGAATATGGCCATTCGATGCAATATAGATAAGGAATGGCTGCTTAGGGGTCCATGAGAAATGATTTATCCTAAGATAAACAAATAGAATGGGTTCTAAGCTAAGGTAAATAAATGCAATGGTAATTACCAAATATTTTGATGGAGTAAATCATGGTTGGACCTATTTGAGTTATTAATAAGGAAATGAATATTAGATAACAAAGTTAGAGGGAGTTAGTGAAATTGTATTCTTCTCCTAACCAACATACTAGCAATTAATTAAGGTTGTGCAAGCCTTTCTACTTTCTAATTTGGAATACATCTTTCTTGTGAGAGATGATTTACTCTGTTTATTCTCTTTTTATATTGAATTTACATATAGGATCAAATATTGCGCTTCGTGTGGTTTCCTTGTTGTGAATCCCCAAGTGGATCTAAAGGATGTTGCATTATCTTACTTATCTGATAAGTTTTGCGAGATATTTAAAAAATTAAGAAAGGATATTCTTATTATACAATTTAAATTATTCTCAAGATGGTCTTTTTAAAAACCATGGATTGAGATACAGGATATTTTATGAGATTCATTTGAAAGAAGAAAATTACTTGAGATTCGATGCACCATCTAAATAGAGTGATTAAGTATGAGGGAGTTAGTAAGATATAATTACATAACCCCTCAAAAATAAAACTTGAAATACCTGAAAAACAATCAACAATGATAAATGATTCAATCAATTACAATTCTAAAACTTATGTATCAATACATGCAAAACAATATCAGAATATAAATCTTATTAATAATTTATTAAAAGATAAAAGTCCGTATTCCTTACAAAAAGGGAATTTTATTATCTCAAGTGGAAAATAGGAAATCTGATTGATAAGCAGATAATATGAATTCATTTTATTTTCATCAGATGCTAATAACCTATTACAAGGTTAGGATAGCGTTCATATGATGCCGATGATGAAAATATCAGATAGAAATAAAAATATTCATTTAGATAGTTGATTTATCAAAGGAATGATGCTACTCAAATTAGGAAGATCATTTTATAAATCTAGAATAACATTTTTTGCTTATTTTCTGATATACCTGCTTTCATGGACTAAGAAATAACTTCCTTTTGATTTTACTTTTTCTTCATCCCTAATCATAAAAGATATATCTTATGTGCTCTTTCAATCATTATCGAAAACGAGCAAATCAATATAATTCATAAATTTAAATTATAATTTACTATTTTTTGCTATATCTCAAGCAGATAGATATAAAATTATAGAATCCAAAACATATATTAATAAATTCTGCAATGGATCTTGCAATCAAGTTTAGCATAGAGAAGTTCTATTTTTATTATTGTAGTGACAAGAAGTCGAACTCTTTCTTTATGTTTAAAAGTGCTTGAGTATCTAAATGACTTCTGAAAATGTTATAATATTTAGAGAAAGACTCAAGACATCAAATGTATACTCTAATCTACTAAGAATAAAAGAGTTAAATTTAATTTAATTGATATGAATGAATCATTTATCATTATCAAAGTAATTTTGGAATCTCAAGGTTCACACTCGAATGGCATGGTAATTGATGTATTTCCTTGAGTTGGAAGGATAGAATGTATATTATACCATACCAGTACATATCTAATTATCAAATCCATAGTTTTGGTCTGGCTTTCTATCAACTTCCAAAATCCAACATCAAATCCACTAAGTAACTCTGTTAAAAGTATTTAAGTCATGTTCAAATTCTCAACTTGCCTATAGCGACACTCCAATTAAAGATATTTTACCACTAGGTCATTCATCCTCCCTTTGCCCATCAATAACATAATAAGACGTTCGGTGGTTAATATGCCTTCCTAGTACTCTTAAGAAGACGATGTTGGTCTAAATTTACTTCCTAAGAACTTTCTACGTTTGACATTGAAAAATTAAAAACTAATTTTATTAAAGTTGAATAATCAGTAATGCTAATTTAATTTATGTAATTGCCTTAGGATTTTATATTTTGATTTAACCAAATAAAAAATAGATTGTAAATAATAATTATTAAAAATGAAGAAATTTTGACTGTCTTACCTTTGAAAGATTATAGGACAATTTAAAAATTGGAGGTGATTTTGAGGTTGTAGATTCCACATTTTTTAATATTATCAATGGAGATAAATTTGCTTCATTTCCAGGCAAAATTAAGCCAATTGTTTTTGCCGATTCTGCTATTTAATTAGGAAAACCTTGGGAGATATGTACATGTGTCCAACAAGTAATTTGATAAACAAAGATTATGTATATCTTATTACATCAAGTTATACTTCAAGATTTCAGAATTGCGATTAGTTTACATTTACTGGATGGTTTAATATTAACGAAATAATTCAAACTCATAATGTTCTTACATATTAATTTATTAAATTGACTTCAAATGTGTAAAATAATTTATTTTAGAACCAAAATATATCTCCTTTATAACTATTTTACCAGCTTTCAAAAAATCTAAATACAATAATTATCACAACATATAGTTACACAT